AGAAACACTGCCAATGAGCACTTGTGGCCTTTGGGGAACAGTCTTGATATAAACCATAACACCTAGAGATGCAGAGGGGAGAATGAGATTGATGTGCTGTTGTTCAGTACCTGTCTGTGATCATAACAGAAAACATTGTTACTGATGGGTGAAAAGAAGAGCAGAGCTTAAGATACCAGATTTGGTACATGTATTTCTTTTACTTTTTTGTTTTTTGAGAGTATCACTATATAGTTCAGGTTGGCCAGGAACTCACTCACTGTGTAGCCCAGGCTGGCTTTGAACTCTTGATGATCCTTCTGCCTCAGTCTCTCCAGTGCTGGGATTACAGGTGCTTGCTGCCACTCTCAGCCCTTATTTTACCTTATTTCTGCTGCTGTAAGAATGCTTCCATTATGTGAGGAATCCCCATACTGATTTCCATAGTGGTTGTACTTACTTAGATTTCCACCAACAAAGTAGAATGGTTCTTTTTTCCTCACAGGTTCACGAGCAATTGTCATTACTTTATTTCTTGATGATAGCCATTTTTCTGGAGTAAGTTGGAATCTCAGTGTGATTTTAATTTGTATTTCTCTAATGGCCAGTGATGTTGAGCATTGTTTTGTTTATTTATCGGCCATTTTTATGTTTTTCTCTGAGAAGTGTTTATTCATTTCAGTTACCCATTTTTTCTGACTGTTCGAGTTCTTCATATATTCTAGATAGTAGTCCTCTTGAGGAATAGCTGGCAAATTTTTTCCCATTCTGTAGGTTGTCTCTTCATGACTCTGTTGGTTAGTTGTTTTCATATGCAGAAGCTTCTAAATTTGATATGATTCCATTTGTTCTTTCTTGATACTATTTCCTGTGCAATTTGGGTTCTGTTAAAAAAAGTTCTTACCTATGCCTATGTCTTTAGGAGTTTTATCTATTTTTTCTTTGGCAGATTAAGTGTTTTTATATTAGCATTTAGATCATTGATCCATTTTGATTTTAGTTTAGTACATGGTAAAATACATGGGTCTACATTCAGTCTTCTGTGTGTGGGTAGCTAGTTTTCCAGACACCATTTATTAAAGAGGCTATCTTTCCTCCAGTGTGTGTTTTTGATACCTTTGTTAAAGTTCAAAGAGCTGAATGTGACTGAGGTATTTCTACTTTTTCTCTTCCATTTCATCAATCCACATGTCTGTTTTAGTGTCAGTGCCATGCTGTTTTTATCACTGTAGCTTTGTAATATGTAAATAGTAAAGACCCTGTTTTAAGTTCACCATTATATTTCTGTGGGTAGAAGAATAAAAAGAATTCAGACATTTTTGATAATGAGTTCTGCTCATTTATGTTCAAAAGATAACACTATTGTTTCATTAACAAGTTTCTTGAAATTATTAAGCCAGTGAATTTTTCAGCTGAATTCAAATGCTCCTGCAGTGTACCTTCCTCAAAATAATCCTCACATAAAAATTAGGTAGCCCTTTAACATTTCTGTTCATGGGTACTGTGGGGCATTGGAGGGCAGAGGTTATTCCTGTTTAGTGCTGTCTAATGTTCGTATATAAATGTGTGTATATACACATATGTTTCTATTATATGTACATACAGTATATGTATATATACATTTATACATATGTACATAACAGAATATGTGTGAATACATTTTCACATATATGTGTATATATTTTAGATGGGTCTTGCAGGGCTGCCCAGGCAGGCCCTAACTTGCTATCTTCTTGCTTCAGCCACTTTGAGTAGGTGGGATTACATGCATGTGCCCCATGCCTCACTGCTGCATGGGTTTTTGAATGAAACAAATTGAACTTGTCAGATGAGCCACAAAAAGTTATCAGTTATTGGAAACTTAAATAGGTGGTGCTTATATCTCAACAAGGAAAACTGTAGTCTGTGGCATTGGCTAGCTATGTGATCAAGCAAATTCTTCATTATTTTGGCTTTAGTTTCCTTATACGTAAACATGTGACTCTACAATATAAGTAAATCAAGTACTAGAAGGTGTAATCAAACAAAATATGAATGTTTTACATTCTGTTTTTCCAGAAGCATATAGTCTCAATTGTGGTTTTAAAAATGAATAATTTAAAAGGTACTGTATATTTCATCCATGTTTGGATTCTACAGAATTAAGTAAATTTCTTCACTTATGCAAATTAGAAAATTTTTTTCTGCATATTCTTTGTAGTTTAGTATGGTCACATTTATATTCTAAATTATTTTAATTTTTATTTTCTGTTAAGGTCCAGAAAATGTGAAATGTCTGATTGAGAAAGAAAATATTTCTGAACTTATCTTACTTTACCTTTTTAAAAAGTCATTTCTATGAATTAGGAGTCTTTTTGCTAGTGGTACAAAAATAATACTTAAAATATTACCTTTAAAACTTACTGATTTAAAAATTTGTGTAGTTTTTCTTACTGTAATTTTATCTTATTAAAATAAAGATTAGCTATATATCAAAACCAAGTTCTGTATTCTTCCTTTCATATATATTTGTATTTTTAGGAATATAGATGTCTCTTTTTAATTACCAGTGGACACTGGAAGAAGGAGGAACAGTATATTATTAGATATCACTGACAATTGTGATTCCTGCCAGGAACTCTCATCCCTTCAGCCATAAAATCAGCATAAAACTGGCCTCACATTGCTAGATAATATTGAGTATGTAATTGAGAAAGTAATCCTCAGGGAGCAGAAAAATTCAGTCTTTGTACAAAGTTGTACAACAGGACTTTTTCCACAGATCTCTTTTTTCTTTGTAGTACTTCTGAAAAGTTGCTACAAAGATATATTAGATATGGTCTAAATGTAACCATATAAACAGCACCAAAATTAATCCATTTCAGAATATGGCTCCACATGATTCTAATACAGTTTTGAGTCCCGAAGCACAGGATTTAATTAAAAAAATAGGATGTTTTCTACTAGATGTTTAAACCACTTTTTCTTCTGTGAGAAAAAAAGTACACAGAACAACAGAAAACAATAAGAGATGAATGAAAAGTCACTCTGCAAACCTTAGTTAACTCAGTGTTGGCAGCAGTGAGAGCAGAGTGACCACGGGCTGTCCAGGAAGGTGAACAAGGTCCTGGTTTTAAGACAGAGGTGTTAGAAACTTGAAGAAATTTTTTCTCAAATGGTAACTGTAAAGTTGAGGTTGTTTAAAAGGGATATATAGTGTAAATATTCTTATTGAAACCCCTTAATATCATTTATGAGATTATGTTGTGCATGATAATGTGTTTATATGGCCCTTAATTTTAATGTTTTTCGCTTTTTGTTTTTGTTTTTGAGACAGAGTTTCATGAGGTAGTTCAGGCTGGCTTTAAACTCAGGCTGGCCTAGGCTGGCCCAAAGCACTTGGTAATTCTCCTGCCTTAGCCTCTTCAGTGCTTGGATTATGGGCATGTGCGACTGTGCCCTCCCAGCCACTAGTTTTTGTATTAATTCATCACCATGATAGCTTTTACTTAGCATTTCATGAAGACTCTATCATACACTTTTGCTTTGTGGGATGCAAATCTTAGCCGCTATTATTTTGTGAAGCTGCCATAGGAACGTATGTGTATTTTTCCCATTTGGAAACCCTAGCTCTAATCATCCTCAGGGCATTAATATCTGAGGACTTTTAGATGACCTATAACACACTTCACATTTACTTCATAAGTGTGTGTTTGTTTTATATGAGAACATAATCTCTTACTGTTACCTTCATAAATTTGTGATGTATTATTTTTACATACTATTTTAAAAATGATGTATTTTTATTAATTTATTTGGAAAATTTTAAATTCTTAAGTGAGAAGTTTAATTGTGGAAAGCATGCTTTTTTATTTTTAAGTATGTGAAAACAATTGGTTACCTAAAGTGAAAATACAAGAGAAGCCTGCTCATGCTAAAAATGCTATTATGCATTCATTATATTTTGGAATTAACAATTAGGAAATTATACATTCTTAGGTTGCAGTTTTTAAAAAGCTCTGTATAATAATGGAAATAATATAATGGAGCTGTAGTTTTACACCGACTGGATACATAAAGTGATATTCTTGATCAACAAAACCCTTTTATTGGGAGTGGAATTCAAACCCTGTCAAGTTGTCGGTACTTGTCATTCATATTAGTTTTACTGTGAGTTTTTAAAGTTTTTTTCAGAAATAATGTTAATCCATTTTTTTATATCATTCTTTTAAAACCATTAGAAATATTCATAAGTTTGTTTTGACAAGATTATAAATCTATGACCAAAATATGTACTAGTGCTGATTAAAACTAAGAACTTCATTTTATTACATTAAGTTGGAAGTGTGTGAGATATAATGAAAATAAAAAACTTGTGACTTTTTAAAAAATGTTGATTTATGTATGTGAATTACTATGGTGTATAGTAGAACAAATTTAAGTATCCTGCAAATATCAGTTGTATTTTAAGTAGCTGCCTTATACCTAAATACTGATTTATCTGTAATATTAAAAAAGATTTATAGAGCATAACTATGGTATTTAAAAACTGGTAGAAGGCTGATAGTACTATTTTTATAAATTCTTAATAGTAATTTTAAGTGCAAATTTAAGATGATGTACTGTATTTTGGTCAGTCTTTGAGGGCCATAAGATATTTGAGTACATATTTACAACAATTATGTTTTTATTTTCAAGATAAAACCAATAAAGATACATATATTTTTAAATTGGAAGTTCAGTGTTCAGAATCTTAGAAAACTTAGTAAAGAGGTGGGTTGCTAAAAGAAATGATTTTTAGTAACACTGATCAAGTTACTAATTTCATTTGATGTTGTTTTAAAGGTTATGAAACCCTTAAAAGATCAAAATACTTAACGTGATAAAAGGAGAGAAGTGAACCTGACCCAGCTGTGTTTATAGAAAACTTCACAAATTATAATGAAAACAGCCTTAACTATTTGAAGACCATTTTAGCAAGACTGTTGCTTTACATGTCTTCCTTTGCCTTTTTTTTAATGATATGTGTCAATTATTTGCAGATCCTGTGGTATTGTGGAAATTCCCCGAGGACTTTGGAGACCAGGTTGGGAAACATAATTTTAAAAAGACATTAAAATTAGAGTACTGTCATTGTTCTTACTATTACCACTACCGCTACTGCTGCACATGACTATAATTATTTTTTCTTGATCAACTGTGAGGAAAAAGCATGTGTGGAGAATATATGGAAGAATCTTTTAAAGTTACCAAGTAGATAAGTGAAAAAGCTTTAATGCTGGAAATAATAGGGTCTGGATATTGACAGTTTCAATATATTTTAATACTCTTTTATTTATAGAACACATATTTGGAAACATTTAAAAATTATTTCAAAAACTTGATATTACTTAATATTTGGTAGATATATTCATTGTTTCTATTTAGAAATAAGTATAACTTCTGTGATTATTTTTTTCTTGTCACAGTAATATCTGAATCACTTACATGTAGAAACTGAATTGGCATTGTTTTCTTATTTTTAAATAACTCTTGCTTATTGCTTTATTTTCTTAAAAAGACAAAGCATGGGAGAGTGCAGGATGAATTAATTCCATTTGTATTTTAAATTATATTTTCTATAGTTATTTAAATATTTAGTATGAGGGGCTGGGGATTTAGCTCAGCGGCAAAAGCGCCTTCCTGGCAAGCGCATGGTCGTGAGTTCGGTTCCCGGTACCGGAGAAAAACCAAAAAAAAAAAAAAAAAAAAGAATTTAGTATGACCAAAATGATGAAATGTTTGTAACTGATGTATATAAATAGTAAAATATTCAAAATTTCATATTCTAGATTTATCATATGAAGTTAAATTATATATTGTATGGTAACAATAGAAACTTGTTTTTATAGAAATAAGTACTTTTTACTGGATGCCTAATGAGTGCACTCATTTATTTTTCTTAAAAGAAATGAGAGAAAGCAATTTTTTCACTGTTAAAATTATAGTGCTGGGTCTGGGGATTTAACTCAGTGGCACAGCGCTTGCCTGGCAAGCATGAGGTTGTGAGTTCAATTCCTGGTACTGGAAAAAAAACCAAAAAAAAAAAAATTATAGTGCAGTAAACTTATAATTTAAGATCACAGACATAATTTTCACAGTTTATAAAAATTAAATTTGATAAAAGTGTAACTTTAAAGCAGTTCATTCAGAAATAAATATACAGACGTATGAGTGGAAGGATAAATCTCTAGATGTGAAAGGAAATCTGAAAGACTTAAAAATTAGCAACTGACTTAAGAAGTTAATTAAATGGAAATATAAAGTATTAATTAGATCTAGTGCAACCCTTGGCCATACTTCCAAATAAAATGTACTATAAATTTAATTTTAACCTTTTAGAGAAAGAATAGACTTGTAAATAAATATATAACATAGGTCCCTACAGTGAGGACACTGGGAAATAAGTGTAATTGGGTGTATTCCCCCGCAGTATCCAAAGAATAGTCTTGCTGATTGATTTTACCATTTTGAAATGTTCTTTTCTTTATCTTTTTATTTCTTCTCTCCTTATTCAGGAATGTCTTCTGTTTCTCTTCAGTTCTGTTTTGTTGTTTTTGGTATTGTTTCTACCTCTTACAATGGTCTCGAGAGTTCTTCGGAGGTCTGGAGACTCCTCACTTTGGCTTCACTTATGAAGTGAAGTGATAATGTCATTGTGCTCACCTGCAGTAAAAGTTTTAGTGAGATGATCCACTGCTCTTTGTCTTTGTGACTTGCAGAAATAGTGCTTGGAATTTTTTAGTTGGGGCAGAACTGTTCCTTTGTTTTCGGAACTTGTGTGAGGGCAACAGAACATCAGTAAGCCTTCGCATACTTAGTGGGCTACAGAGCAGTGAACTGTGTTGTCTCCCTGGTGTGAGGACCTGAAAGAGTAAATAAGGTCTGAAATGCACAATAGATACTGTGAAATGGGAAGAAATTGTTCAAAAGGAAAAAGGAACAAAGATGGGCTAAAGGGGAAAGGAAGGAAGGGAAAAGGAAAAAAAGCAAAGTGCAAGGTAGTTATACTACTAGTTTCTCTTAGTTCATTGAAAAGTTTGTGCTAATGTCATTTGGAGAATTTTATCAGCCCATATCTTGTATGCTAATTAACTACTTTAAAGATAACAATACTCAGTGTATCAACTATTGTGATTCTCCTATTATTTTGTTGTGAAATTTTGGCTATTTTTCCATAAAAAAGCAATTAACCATGTAATGATAATGAACATCCATAATCCTTAGGATTCTAGTTCACAGCAGTTCTCACAGTTTTTTTTTTTTAAAGAGCTGAAAGGAACTTTAGATACCATGTTGTCTAATTACCTCAATTTATATCTAAAGAAACAAAGCTTTGTAAGAGATTCTAGCACAGGGCCTTGAAGATTGGTTTTACTACTTGCTTTTTGATAAATATATTGAATCCTACAGAAGACACAAGTACTCTGTGTGTTTCTTACCTGCCTTACTTTTTATTTATTACTTTATTCTACTACATATGCACTTCTTAACCAGCCTTTTCACTGTGCCTTAGAGTCCTTCAATAACTTTTTTTTTAAAAAACTTCTTTATTTAGCTCTTACTGTATACATTATATTAGGTGCTTTATGTGCATAATTCATTGCATTTTCAAATTCTCCTGTGGGTACTGGGAGATAGTATCATCCCTCAAATTGAGGCTTACGTAGGTAATTAACTGAGGTCACACTGCTTGTTCTAAGAGGCAGAGCTATGGCTTGAAGGCACTGTCTTCTGACTCAAAAGTATGTGCACTTAACCATTAAACTGTAATGTTCATTCTTATCAAGACCTCCCAACCTCTCCCCAGTTATTTTAGTCCCTGTTTAATAAGGATTATCCTAATAGCTTTTCCATCAGTATCATTATAATTATTAAACAGTGTGTGATTTTATTCAAAGCAATACAGTAATACTGATCCATTGCCCTTTGTTTCTACCACATGGACTTAACTGGTGTCAGTTTATTGCACATTTTCAGTCGTGTTTTTCCTTTTTTGGCAGTAGAAGAACCAACAGCATATTTCAGGAGTTGTGATTAAGTTTTTTTAATAAAAAAAAGTGAAAGGATTTGTATGGGGAAGAAGTAAGAGATAAAACCATAAAATAAACAAATTTGGATTTTAGGAACATTTTGCCGTGCCAAAAAGTTGGTTTCTCAAATGAACTCGAGGAAAGTATAATATAACAAAATCACGGTGTTAGGAAGATTAATGTGGGATTAGACTACAGCCTGGATTGGCGGTAGTAGAAATGGGGGACAAGGGATATTAATGAGGTAGCTACTGCAGAATTCAGATGAAAAGTGTGAAAGCTAGAGTTGGTTATACTAGGAATGAAAAAGAAGGCGCATGTGCAGCAGAAAAAAAGAGATTGCATGGAAAGGTTGTATTTGGGGGTGGGAGAGAGTGGAGAAGAGTAATGAAGAGAAAACAGTTTAATTTTTATCACTTCAAAAATAATGAAAAATCTTTCATGTGAGTGATGAAAGGGCTTTGTGGATTTAATAGGAATGGTGAATATCTGCAGCCTAAGGAAACACAAAGGCATGAATATTGAAATTTGAGGATTGCTGTGGGGGTAAGAATAACTGTTGTGTTTAGGCAAAGGCATTACTCAGGAAACTAAGGAAGCAAGCTCATCAAAATTGAGGGGATTTTAGCAAGTTTCATAACCTCAGTGTCAGATAGTATCACACAGGACAGAAATCACATTTCACTATATTCTTATCCAAGAATAAGAATACTTTAGGGATCACAAAGCTGAAATGATTAAAACTAATTTCATCATCACTATCACATTTATACTTTTTGTGTTAATGTGCAGGGAATTCAGGTTACTTTTGCCAAATGAATTCACACTTCTCTAAAAGATTGTTGCAATTTCTACTATGATAGATTTAAATAGTTATAAATAAACAGTAGCTCGGGGCTGGGGATTTAGCTCAGTGGCAAAAGCGCCTGCCTGGCAAGCGCAAGGTTGTGAGTTCGGTTCCCGGTACCGGAGAAAAACCAAAAAAAAAAAAAAAAAAAACCAAAAAAAATAAAAAAATAAAATAAACAGTAGCTCTTCAGAGTCTTCAGTAAGTCCCAAGAATGTAAAGGAGTCCAAAGGTTTAAAAAGAAAAACCCAACAATGGCTTTATTTTCCTACTAAGGTTAAAAGTATTTGTTTACTTTAAAAAATATATACCAGATTGTGTTTTTCTGATACTCTTGATAGTAGTAGAATTCTAAACACACATAGATTATAACTTTTAGCAAAAATAACTAATTTATGTTTGACAGGAAACAAAAACAAAACCTGAAAACCTGAGGTGGGGACAAGAGAACTTTGAATTATGTAGAGCATTTTAATAGACCACCACAGCTTGTGAATACCCATGATACAACTTCCTCCAGCTAAACATGCCATTTTTACATCTTTGTAAAGTAGGAAAGATGAATATGCTTGTTAAGATGACTAAAAGGACTAGCTTTTGTATAGCACGTGAAAAAAGGAAATGAAATAGAATTTAACAGTAATTCAGCATTTAAACCTGGAAGTTACCCTTTTATTAACTCAATATCTGATCAAAATTTTAATTACTTGAAATTTAAAAAATACTATGCTCAATAATATTAAATATTATTCTACAAAGTGTAATTTTATTGTTTAAAGTTTACTAGAGTAATGGCTAAATTTAGTTGAATAGAAATTTTCATTTTCTATGTAACCTAAATATGTCATGTTGGCTTATTTGTTCAATAACCAGCATATAGTTGAGAATAACAAACTTAAGTCATAAAATATGTGTTTGTACTGTATGTAACATTTCCTAAATCAGAAGACACAATTTTATCAAACCAAAATTATAGAACTTGATAAGTTTGCAAAGTGTTTATCCTAATAATGTGAATTTGAATATGTTGAGAATTACTTTTAAAGTTATCCCTTTTAAAATATGAGTTGTTTCCTTATTAGAATTTCTCTTTATAAACCAATCAGAACAGAGCCTCTTTAATTTATCAAACTTTGTAATCCAGTTTATTGATACTTGTTGGAGATG